AATACTTTAATTTAGAGGAGGATTTCTGAACCATACGAAATCTTCATTTCAATAAATTTTTCGTTTACTTTTTCTTTTTATGAATGTGAAGATTTAAATAGTAGTAGAAGTAGATAAGGAACCTTAGGGATGACAATATGTGTGTTTTGATTGGAATAATCAACGTAAAATTGCTTTTGAGGTCCATTGCAGCTAGTTCTGAAAAATTTCGCTTTTTCATTGTTATTCCATGTCTTTCGATCGAAATTCCACTACTGTACCCCTGGGTAGGTTGTGCTCATTACAATTTACTGATTTGGTTTTGAATTGATCATTAGTTGTGTATTTATCACTCAAAATCTGCTTGAACGACCTGAGGCGAGCGCGCCCGCAAAATCGCCGCGGTCCCACGTGGCCAAAAAAGCCAAAACTCGCGTTGTCGTCAATGTGTTAAATGGCTCGTGATTAGTTGTCGCGCTCGAACTTGCGTGACAATGGCGCTAAGGATTTACAAAATTAGCTGGTGGCGGCTAATGTGGCTAAGGAGAGATGCATCGTGCACCCTATGATACGCAACCTGGATTGCGATGTAGCGACTTATTCAAATTCGTGCGGGTTATAGTGGAGCTATAGAGCAAGCAAGTTCACACAACTCGTTGGATTAGTCCCTATCTCATTGTAAGGGGAAGAGAGGAAGCCTTCGTTTAAGGGTTTCATCAGCGGCTCGCTTTGCTTCATTTCTCATTTTCAATCGGCTGATGATTTCGACCACCAATACCCCCTAATTTGATCTGGGGTTGTTTCTTTGAAGGAAATGTCAATGTATCAAATATATATTGGATTTCTTTTGGAAAGCTGATTGGTGCATTCTCAAAGGGGAATTTTAGGCAGCAGGACAAGGTGACTCAGCTGAACCTCAGAAGAAGAAGAAGCGAGTAGTGGAAGCGAAGAAGATTCAACCTAAGGTTAGTTTGCCAGTAATGTCATGTGACAGCCACACAACTGTTTTTTTTTCTCGCATGATCCTACTCTGAAGCTCAACAGTTTGAAGCTGTAAGAACAGCAAATGCATTTGGTAACTTTTTAAACATTTATATTATTTTAGCTCAATACGGCACAAGCGTTGGCCGCTGCAGCCAAGGCCGGTGAGCTTTCTGATGCTGTAATCAATGAACAGATGAATAGTGAAGATGCAACGTTGGCTTCGCAAGAAGGATTAGCCATTCGGTTCGTTCTATCATTGAAGCTCTACAGTCTCCTTTTTTGAACGGACTTATTGCAGAGGAAATGATGCTCGACATCTTCTGATGGCGAAGCTCATGCGAACGAATCGGTCCACTGTTCTAGTATTACGGAACATGGTTAGTCGCTTTTGTTCTGTTTATGCTTGTGAAGACGTAGAAGGATGTTGACCTCACATAGATCCTTCAATAAATTTCCCATTCTTACATCGTTCTTCCTGTTCACAACGATGTTCAGGTGAGCCCAGATGAAATCGATGAGTATCTTGAGGAGGAAATCAAGGAGGAATGTTCAAAATATGGTGATGTGCAAGAGGTTGGTTTTTCAAAATTATTCTTTGTTGGTTTTTGGGAGTAGGTTGCTAAATTAGTAGCTATTCAGCACTCCTAGGAAATTACTTCTAGCTGCTACAAGGATTTAAATTTTTCATGCATTATTTTTCTATTCGCTAGAGTTCCTCTCACCAACTCGCATTTTTTGGCTCTTGAACCCATAGTTTAAGTTTCTCCCACCCATTGGTTTTACTTTATGAGTCTGTACAGTAACTTGCATAAAAAAAAAAAAAAAATAAAAAAAAAAAAAAAAAAAAAAAAAAAAAAAAAAAAAAAAAAATCATCTATACAGCTGTCGTATGGTCGAGCTAGACGGAGCAGTTAGATTCTCGTGCCGTGAGGTGTTATAGTATAGAAGTCATGTTTTGTTTGGCATTTATAAGTCCTTCACTCTTCGATGTGACAAATTCATTATTAGAAGCGGAGACGTAAGAAAGAAAGAAAAGAATGACAGGCAATGAATAACAAATGTGTCTATTGGTTTTGTTTATATAAAAGTTTTTGTTCGTTGACACAGTCTATCTGGTAATGAAAAAGGATCGTGCTTTTTAGGTAGTGATAGCAAATGATCAAAATGCCGGGATAGTGAAAATTTTCGTACGCTTTGCGGATCCCAAACAGGTATGGCGGCTCCATTCATTTTTTTGTGTTCCAATTTACTGTAATATTGGTTGGAATATGAAAGTATTTTTGCGAAATGTGTAGGTCGATGCTGCACGAGCTGCTCTTGACAAGCGTTTCTTCGGTGGACATACGGTCTCTGCAGAAGTCTACGACCAGGCAATGTTTGATCACAACGATCTCAGCGGTTGATCAATTTCTTATTGTTAAGTATGGTATTCTAGTTGTTAAATTTGAAGTTTTGTTTTTTTTATTCAAATACGGATATGTCTCATAGTTTTAGTTGTCAGCTGAACACTGTCTCATTTGTTTCGTTTTTTTTTTCGATGAGTGGCACGGTTTAATTTTAATGGTTGATGAGGATAGAATAGTCTTGTGAAATTAAATGTGATGGGAATCGGCTTCAATTTCTCAAATTTTCGATGGGCTTCTTATACCAATACAAATGCTCTCATTCGTCTTGGATTTTGTGTCGTTTGGAATGAGAATTTATTGTCCTAATGTATTCGATATTGCATCCTGTGTATTTCATGCGAAGATAGTGAAGGTTCAACTATGGTTTTTTGTCGAGTGTAAACAGTTATAGGCTCTGCGCTACTTCTAGAGCATTTTCAATTTTGCAATAAGGTCTGTTTGTTGCAAATGGAAGTTGTTGTGGTAGTTGCGTGGTAGCAGCAAAGTTTGTCACTGTGTATCGTTCATGTTGCCTATCGTGGTATTCCGCGTGGTGTCTCTTGTTCTCTCAAAATTCCTTCAATGAATTATTATGCGATGAGGGTGTTAGTCACTGGGTTTAGTGTTTAAATTTGTTATTGGCAAGGTTTATTGGTAAAATAGGGAAGAATTGAACAGTAGGCCAAACCAAGCCCCGCAGGGTTGGTGTTGCTGTCTTTCATTTGCTTGATCTGAAGTGAACAGTGATGGGGTAAGTCGATGTAAGCGTTAGTTTTTTGTTTGCTAGAAAGGAAGAAGCAATGAGTTGAATTCCGTGCGTGCATTGTGATTAAATTTAGATGTGCTGATGAATGGGCTCATTAATTTATCGCCGGCAGTGCGTGGGAGCTGAAGGGTGGGAAGATTTGACGTTCACCATAACAATGCTTATTCACTGACAAAATACTTCGCCCCATTTGGCCCTATAAAGCGCTTGTCTCGCTTACCGAGCAAGTGTTGAATTGTAGCTCACGTATTTTGTCCCAAGTCATATTTCAGTTACCAGTTGAAAACTTGATTAATTGCTCGCCTCATTTGCTTTTGATGCGCTTAAGAGTGCTCAACGAACTCTAGGCAAGACTTTTTTTAGCAGTGTAGTTGGTTTCGTGCTAGTTTTATAGGCTGTCGTATTTTGTCGCTAAGTGAGTGAGGGCTGGCGCTAATTTTCTATGATAATACGGAGTATTTAGTAATTGGGATCGCTAGTTAGAAATACCAGTGATTTCTTATTTTATTTATTATCTCATGCGTTTCTCTGTTCAAAATCACGCATCCAGTCCTTTTGCACTAATCATTCGTCGTGTTATTTATCCTACCAATACAGCAATCTCCATTCTTATTTGAAGAGACTTTTTAAACGAGTAGTATACACAAGAAGCGATAGCACGAAAGGCGGTGCCGGAACCTTCTCCATATAATGTTTATCGCTTACTCTCCCTCTTTTTATCCATTCCCTTGGAAGCTCATACTGCTGCCTTTTTCTTGAAAAAAAAAAGAATGTAAGTTGTGATGTGAAGCTTTGCGCTGAGAGTTTCTCAAAAATAAATCCGATCAACTTAATGGTGGAGCTTAAAACACAGTGAATCTGTGAAGAAGGGTCAAACCATTGTTTCATTTCCAGAATCTAACGAACCCCCCCCTTTCTCTGGTTTAGACTCTAAAAGGAGGTTTCGCTTAATCCCCATAACCACCGATAGAAGCCATATTGCTGAAAACTGGCAGTTCTAACTTGGTCGCTTTGTGCTCTACCTTCTCTGGAGTTCAAACATGAAAATCCCCCAAATCCGGTCAGCAACCTCACAACGCCGTCAAGGATTCCCCCTCTTACGCAACCAACGACCCCATCATCGAAATGCCCGTTCCCAACCTTTTTTGGGTATTCAAAAACCCCACATGCGGCCCAGTTGAAAACTGCTCAACGCACGGTTGACCCAGAATCCCAGGCCTGTTTTCTCTCCTTAGAAGGCCCAGAAGCTGCCCGCAGCTCCACCAATGCAGAGGCCTCTTTGTGAGCAGGAACGTACTTCTCTTTTATTGCTTGTTAATGTCTTTTTTTTCGAAAACCAATGATTAATTTCGAAGCATAGCCACCTTCACGTTTCCACGTTGCTGAAATAGAGTGTAAACAGGTGAATTCGAAAGAGTGAAGCAGTGTAATTCGCTTGAATCATTCATGAAGGCCGTTATAGTGAGAAGGTCAGAGACCACGGGGCATGTTTACTATGGTACCAGCTTGGTTGTGGGGCAGCGGGTGCCATCGATCTTTCCGTGCCCACAGCCGGTAGCGTCCTCATCACCTCTCCTCTCTCTCCCATGGACATAATCCGCAAATACTACCAGTTTCAGTCGATTGTTTCACTGAATGGCGCAATTTGGCGCTTGAAAAACAAAGTTCGTATTAATATTCCGGTCTTTCGCTCTCACGGAAATTTGGATATCCGACTCGCGTGCTATTCTCAGTGTTTATCATTCGTGTGAGTGGATGGTGAGGATCTATACGTCTGCTTGTTTTCTTCTTTTCAACAGTTTCAATGATTGTTTTGATGGATTGGTTTACACACGGCGTTGTGGTCACGTTATCAGTTCCCCGTATCACTGCCAAGAAACATTCCTGACACAGTGTTTACACGAACTTTTCATGCAAAGTCTGCGCTTCGGACCCGTGCTGCTACTACCCAGCACAGTCAGCAGGCCTAATCGCTAATCTTGATAGGGTGCGTTATTGCTGTGCAGGTGCAGAGGTAATATTTCTACAATCCTGTCCCTTAATTAGTAGAAGAGTGCGGTCTCATCCATTAAGGGGGAGGGGGCATGTGGTGTGACAGCTCTTGCCGGCTACAGAATTTCCTTTTTTTCGCAAAGGGAGTGAATCCCTGGGAGCGTGAACCACTTCGCTTGAACTTTTACACCCACCCCGGAGCTTCCCTCTCCTAGAAAAAGTGGATTACTTCACGGAATATAAACTATCGCGCCACCGCTGCCCCTCCCCCTCCTCTTACTGGATGAGACCTGAAAAGTGTATAGGAAAAGGGCACGCAAACATGGGTTTGTTCGTGGACCTACCTATGTGACCAACGCTACTTACCTCCCTTTGGCGCATTGCACATGTTAGACTTCAATCTGTTGAAAAAAATAAAATACGGTCTTTCGTGATATCCCTGGAGTGGAAGATTCCCACCCTAGATCATCTGGCACCTGGAGTGACTCATAGGGACATTAACACATTGACGACAGCGCCGGTCACATGTGTCTTCCATTTTCACATGATGAAGTGTTTCTTCGTTGTTGTCTCGTCATTTTTTCGTGATTTTTTCTATTTTGCTTGATTATTGCTTCCTGAAATCTACGTCTCAAAATTTTCCGTGTCCCTTGTCGAGTACAAAATCTTGTAGTCGTTACTAGTATTGAAAATATTGGTGGAGTAGTAACTATTGATGCGCATTTATAAAAAAAAGGGCGTATAGCTCGGTAGATGCGCACCCAACTGCCATGTCGTCAACTTGTTGATGCATTCATCAAACTCGATGAATAAGGGTAGGTAGAATGATACACGCGCTTAATTTTCTTTCTGCATTTAACAACCAGACATTTATGTCTTCTTTATTCAAGAGTTAACTATTGTAGTTTTGTTTGTATAAGATATGTGTTTCTCTTTATTGTATGTTATTTCTACTCAGCACTCACCAAAACAAGGGCTGCTATCCCGCAATTACAACTCGAAAACCTGAAAAAAGTCCCCATCAAAACTCTGTCCGTAGGTTTTTAACTTGTCTTTGACTGTTTAATTGCTGTTTTGTCCCGCGCGGGATGAGAGTTTTGTTAATAATCCAGCATTCTTATGCAACTTTCTGCAACTTTTGGGTTTAATTTCATTTGGTAACAAACGCAAATAACACTCATTCTGGGGGTTGGAGCCACTTGGGGCCGCTTTGCGCCAATTTGGTGAAACCAAATTTTTTCTATTAGTGTGAACTTAAGGAATAGAGGTGGTTTGGTGCTGCGATAATAAATATGACATTCATTTCTGGTGTTAGCCAGATCGGGACTTGTTTTCTGTTCGTCTGCTTCCGGTGGCCGATGGCTTTGCGGGTGTGGTTCACTAGGACAGAAAGCGACTTTTTCGCGTTTCGCAGCGCGAAACATTTTTCGCTGCGGGAACCTCAGGTCCACCGCTGATCATCAGTGGACCTGAGGTTCCCGCAGCGAAAAATGTTTCGCGCTGCGAAACGCGAAAAAGTCGCTTTCTTTTAGTGAACCACACCCTGGCTTGGTGCTCCTTGAAATGGTCTCAGGACTTCTGTCAACCGTGAGGCTTGGCGGTTCAGCGTTTTGTAGTGATGTCTGGGAGCTCTCACAAGTGCACACTATCACAGCATCTCCTCTTTCTTTATCTTCTTCAAAAGGCTTAGTCCCAATAAGACACAAAGTGTGTGCTTTTCCAGCTACGCTCTCACCCTTTGGTTGACAGAAGCCTTGTAACTACCTTGAAATAAGTGGGTCCAGCTCGGGTAAGTCACTGATCGCGTGGCAATTGTTGGAGTTCACAAGGTCAGTCCTTGATTGGATTGTTACGCCAGACGGTCGTCTAACCCCTCCTGCCCTCTAATTTATGAAGGGTGTAAAGCTTTGGCACTATCACGGCGATGAGAGTGCAAAGACAAGAGCTGTATTAGCATTAATGACAAACGCGAGGGTTTTATGATTAGTAGCCATCATAACTTCGAATTACCCAAGATCCCAATGTTTTTTTTTGCATTTTCTGGGTTGTAGCAGTCAAACATTTCAAGGTTCTTAGGGATCGAGCGAAAACTTGAAGCTGTTGACGTTTGTGACAGCTGTTGAATTATTTCGTGGGAGTGTGCTTGTGTCTGAGTCGTGCTAAGCCTACGATCTTTTGCCCAGAAGGCTTGAGCTATTCCTTCTGCAGAATCACTAATGGTTAGACAGCGGAAGCGAAGCGTTTGCTAATCCTTTCTACC